CTAATTTCTTAGAGATAAGACAACCTATCATGTGAAAGCAATTATAGGAATAGCCTTAGAAAATCTCTTTTATTTTTCAAATGATAAAAAATTATAAAACACAAGAATACTCTTTATTTACTGAAAGATACAAGTAAAAGATTACTAAAAGTGAGGATTAAGTAATTATCATATCTGCTAAAATGTTCATAAAAGATTTATGATTTTTAAATGTTTATGACAGATTTTGTTGTAAATCTATTATATAGGAAAATTTTATTATAGAAGTGGTTTCTGTGTCTTTTCAGTAAGGTGAATAAGCCATATCTGAACTCTGTGGAAAATATTGCTAAATCCTCAACCTGTCCTCTTTATTTTTGTAATGGAAATAAGTAAATTGGTGCTCTGAAGTCATTACTCTTTTAAAATAACTGGTGGTTTGATATCCAGGTTTTCCTTCTGGGCCAATTGATTACTTAGAGAGTAAAGAAAAAGAATTTTGGAAAAATCAGTTGTCTACTCCTAATATAAGGAGGAATTGAAGACAATTTTTTTTGAAATTATTTATTTATTTACTTATTTTCTTGCATTCTTTTTAATTGAAGTATAGTCGGTTAAAATGTTGTGTCAATTTCTGGTGTACTGCATAATGTTTCAGTCACACATATACATAACATATTCGTTTTCATATTCTTTTTCATTGTAGGTTACCACAAGATATTAGATATAGTTCCCTGTGCTATACCATATGAAATTGTTGTTTATTTTATATACATTAGTTAGTATCTGCAAATCTCGAACTCCCTTTCCCTTATACCTTTCCATCCATTTTACCCCCTGATAACCATAAGTTTGTTTTCTATGTCTATGAATCTGTTTCTGTTTTGTAAGTAAGTTCATTTGTGGTTTGTTTGTTTGTTTATTTAGATTCCACATATAAGCAATATCATATGGTGTTTTTCTTTCTCTTTCTGGCTTACTTCACTTAGAATGACAATCTCCAGGTCCATCTATGTTGCTGCAGATGGCATTATTTTATTCTTTTTTATGACTGAGTAGTATTCCATTGTGTATATATACCATGTCTTTTTTATTCAGTCATCTGTTGATGGACATTTAGGTTGTTTCCATGTCTTGGCTATTGTAAATAGTGCTACTATGAACATTGGGGTACATGTGTCTTTTTGAATTACAGTTTTCTCCAGATATATGCTCAGGAATAGGATTACTAGATCATATGGTAAGTCTATTTTTAGTTTTTTAAGGAACCCCCATACTGTTCTCCATGGTGGCTGTACTAATTTACATTCCCATCAACAGTGTAGGAGGGTTCCTTTT